GCTGCTGCTGCTGCTGCTGCTGCTGCTGCTGCTGCTGCTGAGTTTGCTTCGGGTTTCTTTTTGTCTCTTCCTCCTTTTTGGACTTCTCGGATTCCAAAGAATAAAACTCTTCGCAAAAGACTGCAAGGGGGCCTCCTGAGGGGCCCCCCAGGCCCCCATCTCCCGGGGGGGCCCCCAGGGGGGCCCCCCACAGGGGGGCCCCCAGGGGGCCCCTCTGTGGGGGGCCCCCCTGGGGGCCCCTCTCTGGGGGGCCCCCCTGGGGCCCCTCCGCAGTGTCCTGCTGCAGGTCAAGTACCTCTTCCCCTGCGCTGTCTTCAGGTGAGAGGGGGCCCCCCCGGGGGCCCCCCCGGGGGCCCCCCGGGGGGCCCCTCCGGGGGGCCCCCCGGGGGCCCCCCTGGGGGCCCCCCCCCGCTGGCCAGGAGGGGCCCCCCTTCGCGGGCCAGGGGGCCCCCTGGGGGCCCCCGGGGCCCCCCGATGCCCAGAGTACCCTGCAGGTGTAGGACTCGACGCACATTAAGTTTGGGGGGGAGTTTGGGGGGGAGTTGTTCATGGGTTTGGGGTGTATAGGCAGGTGGCGGGGGGGGGCCTCCCCATTCTGACTTTCTGGGGCGGTTTGTGGAGAAACAAAACCCTAAAAATTAAAAGAAATACTAAAAAACCCTAAAGTGGAAAAATATCGGCGAAAAAGACGAGGGTTTAGGGTTTAGGGTTTAGGGTTTAGGGTTTGGGTCGGTCTGCTGCTGCACGCGCTGGTCCGGTGTTCTTCAGGTGTACGTACACCTCGAGTCCGGGACAAAAAACTGCAAACGAAAGCTCTTCACTTTTCCAAAACAAATAAAACAAACAAAAAGCAATTAAATGGCGAAACAAACGAGTTCTGCGCTTTGTGGCTGCGTCGGCAGAAGCTGCTGCTGCTGCTGCTGCTGCTGCTGCAGCAGCAGCAGCAGCAGCGGATCGCGCGGGGAAATGAGCCTCTTTTTCAGCGCTTCTTCGCTCATTTTGCAAATAATTAATTTTGAAATGCAAATTAAATCAAATGATTAATTAATTAAAATGAATTTCGGACTTGCGGGAGCGCCGGCTCGCGGCGGCGGCGGCGGGTGTATGTACACCTCAAGGAACCACTGGTGTAGATCTTCGCTTCATTGAAATCCAACTTCAAAAGTAAATTCCAAATTGACTTTCAAATGAATTCAAACATTTTTCGAGAATACAAGCGATGCAAACCCTAAACTAGGGTTTAGGGTTTACGAGAAAGGCCCAGGGTTTATGGCCCAGCGCCTCACCAGTCTGAAACCTGAATCCTAAACCCTAAACCCAACTTCTAAACCCTAAACCCTAGTTCGCAAACCCTAAACCCTAAACCCTAAACCCTAAATATACAAACAAGGGGTTTACGGGCCACCCAGCAAAGTAGGGTTTAGGGTTTGGGGGTTCAGTGTCACGGAGCCTCCACCCCAAACCCTACTTAGGGTTTGGGGTTTCCCTAAACCCTAAAAAGTGTTTAGGGTTTCTTCAAACCCTAGAGAGGGTTTAGGGTTTCCCAAACCCTAAACCTCCACGCAGCAGCAGCAGCGCTGCCGACAGATGACCAACGAAAATTATGTCTGCAAACCCTAAACCCTAAACCCTAAACCCTAAACCCTAAACCCTAAACCCTAAACCCTAAATTGTAGCGGAGTGAAGACAAACAAAAAAACGAAAACAAAAGGAGCCAAGAGGAGCTGGACCTCAGTTGAAGCTGGAATTTATAAATCTAATTTATTTATTTATTTATTTATTTAAATATTTATTTATTTAAATATTTATTTATTTATTTATTTTTATTTATTTATTTTTATTTATTTATTTATTTTCAAATTTAATTTATTTATTTCTCTAAATGTCTCTTTCCTCTTCTTCTTCCTGAATTGCACTTATCACAACTCGCGGCTTTTTGGCTGTTGCTGCAGCAGCAGCAGCAGGTGCAGCAGCAGCAGCAGCAGGTGCAGCAGCAGCAGCAGCAGTTGCAGCAGCAGCAGCTGCTGCTGCTGCTGTCTCTGCATGATCTCTGTTCTCCTGCTCTCTCTGTCTCTTCCTGCTTTGCTCTGCTGCTGCTGCTGCTGCTGCGTCTTCCGCTGCTGCTGCTGCTGCTGCTGCTGCGTTTTCTGCTGCTGCTGCTGCGCTTCCTGCTGCTGCTGCTGCTGCGTTTTCTGCCGCTGCTGCTGCTGCGGGCTCTGCTGCTCCCGCCGCTGCTGCTGCTGCCGGCTCCGCAGCTCCCCCTGCTGCAGCTGCAGCTGCTGCTGCTGCTGCTGCTGCTGCAGTTGCTGCTGCTGCTGCTGCTTTGGGCCTTCTGTCCAGTGCTGCTGCTGCTGCTGCCTGCAGCAGCTGCGCCACTTCAGGTTCCACAAAGTCCAAAACACTTTCGCCCCGCGCGGTTTTTGCCTCCAAGTCGGCCCCTGCACGCAAACCCTAAACCCTAAACCCTAAACCCTAAACCCTAAACCCTAAATTGTAGAGGAGTGAAGACAAACAAAAAAACGAAAATAAAAGGAGCCAAGAGGAGCTGCACCTCAGTTGAAGCTGGAATTTATAAATCTAATTTATTTATTTATTTATTTATTTAAATATTTATTTATTTAAATATTTATTTTTTTAAATATTTATTTATTTACTTTTATTTATTTATTTATTTTCAAATTTAATTTATTTATTTCTCTAAATGTCTCTTTCCTCTTCTTCTTCCTGAATTGCACTTATCACAACTCGCGGCTTTTTGGTTGTTGCTGCAGCAGCAGCAGCAGGTGCAGCAGCAGCAGCAGCAGCAGCAGCAGGTGCAGCAGCAGCAGCAGCAGCTGCTGCTGTCTCTGTATGATCGCTCTCCTCCTGCTCTCTCTGTCTCTTCCTGCTTGGCTCTGCTGCTGCTGCTGCTGCTGCGTCTTCCGCTGCTGCTGCTGCTGCGTTTTCTGCTGCTGCTGCTGCGTTTCCTGTTGCTGCTGCTGCTGCGTTTCCTGCTGCTGCTGCTGCTGCTGCTGCGTTTTCTGCCGCTGCTGCTGCTGCGGGCTCTGCTGCTCCCGCCGCTGCTGCTGCTGCCGGCTCCGCAGCTCCCCCTGCTGCTGCTGCTGCTGCTGCTGCTGCTGCAGTTGCTGCTGCTGCTGCTGCTTTGGGCCTTCTGTCCAGTGCTG